AGGCTGAATCAATCAATGGTCATTACCTAGTTCTCACACCTGCCCTCCCCAGGTTCACATCACCTCATCACCTCTCACTTGTAACCACTGGATCTGTCCCCCAAACCAACCACCTTTGATCTGCTGAACACCCTAACTACTCAAGTTTCCAAAAGAGTTTTTCTCTCATTCTCTCTCTTTACCGCACATATTGCCTGAAGCAACACACCCCCTCTTCTTTTAATTCACCTGTGTATCTCAGCTTAGACATGATTTCACTCAACATTCAGTTAATGAAAATCACTCTGTTATTATTTTTGGTCATGAGGGAAATGCTTTTACTTTTAATTTTATGCCTTTCTATATATACTGTTTGAATTTTCTAGATACGTATATTCTTTTAATTTTACAGGGATTATCTGAATATGGAATAATGTACTGCTGCTCCTATATTTTTATAATATTCCTCTGCACTGAAAACAATATCCTAATAAATGTTACTACTAAATGTCAGGACCACAGTGACTTAATTATTACAGCTTTATTGTGTAGTTTAATATCTTATAAGAAGTCCCCATACTGAGCTCTTTCATTCACTCTAAATTTTTTTTTCTAGCAAATCGCCTTCAGCTTCCCAAGTAGACTATTCTATCACCAAGAAAAATGATAATTTCATCCTGTTTTTTCTATTGCTTATAACTCTTCATTCTGTTTTATTTCTTCTTGCCTAGACCTTGTAGAACTGTGGTATAATAGAGGTGGTGGTGGGAATTCATATTTCATTCTTGATTCTAATGGAAATATTTCTAAGGTTAACCTTTAAGAAGGAGGTGCCCTTCCACATATGAAGAAAGTATTCTTCTGTTGTCCGAGCCAGAGATGAAGCATTGGCACAATCATCTCTACTCAGGATGAAGTTGTTGTCACCACAAAGCCAGTCTCTGCACTTGTACTTCAACAGCAAGAAATCCTATTGGCCCTATTTTCCATGCCAAACATCTTCCTGGTGACCTGGGGTCAGTGGGTTTTCGCAGCCTCGCTCTTGGCCTTGACCTATGCTTCGTTTCCATCACCTCTCACCTGTAACCACTGCATCTTTCTCCCAGACCAGCCGCCACTCCACCTCTTCCTGGTTCCATGTTTCTGGGTTCTGCTTCTCTCTGCCCCAGTGCCTTAGCTGAAACTCTGCAAGGACAGTGTTTGTCTCTGCATCCGACTCCATCTTTGCAGGGTGTATGTTGTCAACATCTCTTTTGGTTCCATCCTCTGCAGTTCATGAGCAAGTCCACACCCATTTTATTTTCTTCGATCTACTGTTAAAGAGAAATACTCACAAGAATATGTAATTGAGAAGAGCAGCATGATCCCAATTTTATAAAAACCATTTGTATGTGAAAGCACAGGGGGAGAAAAAGCCTGAAAGGAAATGTACAGAAATGCTAATTAGAGGTTATTTCTGGGAGCCAGCAACATGCTACTTATATAAATGGCCAAGCTCACTTTTTGATGAGTGTATGACTTGAGGTGCCAGCAGCTTCATTCTCAGTGTGGAGTCATCCTCAGGGAAATTCCTGCTTCTCTTTCCTTTCATATTGCTATTTAAAATCTTCACGACAGCACCAGTGTGTCTCTTCTGGTCCTAAAATACATACTGAAATCAACGGTAGTAATAGTTGTAATTTATTGAGCTCTTACCATGTGCCAGGAACTGTAGTAACTGCTCTGCATTATTGCCTGATTAAGAATTATGAGTAAAGTGCTAAGAACAGAGTCTGGTGCTGAAACTTCTATCACTGCCTCAGTTAATTCTCATGACAACTCCATGAAGTTACTACAATTGTCTTCACTCTGTAGAGGAAGAACCTGAGTTTAAGGAGGCAGTTTGCCGTAGGTACTTCTAGGGCTGAAGACCCAGGTGGAGACTCTGGCCAGCTGGAGCTCTCATGCCCCATTGGAAGGTGGCTGCTGATGTCCATGTGTAAAGGATTGCTGCCACATGAAACATGGGACAGAGCTCCTCGTTTTAAAAGAGAAGCTGTAAACCAGGTTTCCATGTGACAAATCCTAAATTTTACATTGCAGAAACATGTGTAGTTTTTTTAAAAGATGCAACAAGCCCTTGTTGGCATGGCTCAGTTGGTTGGAGTCCCTTCTGTAAAGCAAAAGACTGCAGGTTCAGTCCCCAGTCAGGGTGAGTAAGAGAGGCAGCTGATTGATGTTTCTCTCCCTCTCTCTCCCTCCCTTCCCCTCTCTCTAAAATCAATAAGCATGTCCTATATACTAAAATACTGCATGTAAAACAAAACAAAACAAAACAATACAAAACACACAAACCGTTCTGCAATCCTTGACACCCAACACCATCTGCTTTATAAGTGCCACCTGGACTGTGTCTCTGGTCTCAGGAAGACTCAGACTCTGCTTTCTTTTGCCCTCACAGAATTTGTGCTACCTCATAGTACAGAAATCTTTAGACCAGGAATCAGTAAAATTTTTCATAGCCGGATAGCAGCTATTTTCAGCTTTGCCATCTCTGCCACAACTACTCAGTTCTGCTGTTATAGTGTGGAAGCTGCAAACAAATGAGAATAGTTGTGTTTTCATACAATTTTATTCACAGATGTTGAAATTTGAATTCCATGTATATGTTTTACATCACGAAGAAATATTCTTCTTTTGATTTTTTTCCCACCATCTAAATATGTAAAAACCATTATTAGCTCATAGGCTGTAGAAAAAAATAGGCAGTGGGCTGCTTTAGACCATCAAAAATCAATGATGTTTCTCTGGAAGCTATGATGTTTGCCAGCCTTAAGTCCTCGCTTGTTTCAAGCTGCCTCAGGCCACCTTGGTAAGGCCCATGTCACACACAGATGCAGGCATGTGTGTAGGTCCTTATCACCACATGGTTCTGACTGGTCTATTTTACAAGAGTTTGCATTTCATCTTTGGCTAAACCTTTTCTTCTCATGAAATCTTTGTTGGAACATGTAAGACGGCTAACAATAGGCGGTCCCACAACCACTGCCCTTGCCCTGCTCAGTGGCCTCTGACATACAACATGGGAAAAGCATGGTTGATGGAAAAGACACTGGTCCATTTTGATAATAGTGGAAGGATCACAAAACTATCATAAAGCCACCTAGCAAGGACTTTACCTCCAACTCTAGAATGTATTGAGGAGAGAACGATTTACAGCGATGGTTAGGAATTTTGGAGTCATGCAGACTTGCCTTGGAGGGAGCCACTTAGAGCTGTGTCCTTGGGGAAATCATTTTGCTAAGCCTCAGTTTCCTCCTCTGGAAAATAGATATCATAATACCAGGTGCCTTGTAAGACTATTTTGAGAGCTAAAGAAGACAAAACAGGTAAAGTGCTTAGAATGGGATGTGGTATGTGGTGGGTGCTCAATGTGTGTGACTTATTCTAACTTATATCCAGCCAGTTGAAAGGGGAGGGAGCTTAAAAACAAACAGCAACATGTGGATGAACCTCAAATGTCTAAACAAATCAAACAATAACAACAACAGGCCTTTTTCAATATCAGGAAAGAGGTTATGAATGTTTCTTTTTCCAAAGAAATTCCTTGAATCTTTCAGTCTCCTTTCCAGGGCACCGGCTCTTGGTTCTGAGTCCATCCTTTGCCTGGTGGGCAAAGAATCAAAACCAAGAGGATGGTCTCATATTGCATTGTATTTACATGAAATGCCTCTGACTTGAAGTATATCCAAACAGTCAGGGTTAAATATATGCCACTCTTATTATTATAAGATAATAATACAAATAATAATAATAATAATGACTACCATTCACAGTGTAATGGGGAAAACCACAGGCTTTGAAAGCCGGATTCAAATACTGATTGCCACTCTCAGCTGTGACACCCCGAACACCTCTGTGGTCCTGGGTGGCCTCATTGTCAAATGTCAGTGTGAATAGCCCCTGTCTCCTAGGGCAGTGGGCAAGTGTAAATGGAAGAAGAAATGTAAGGTTTTTGCTCTGTTCCTGGCTCATTGGAAGCCCTTTAAGTGTTGACCATTATTCTGATATGCTTAGAGCTTTGCAAAAACAATGAGCTCATTTTCATATATCACCTTATTTCATTCTCACAGTAAAAGCCCAGCCCATGTGAGTCTAAACCTTGTCCACTGTCCACAGCACCAACTGCCCTGCACCTCCATGCTACTTCTGCCGGTAGGGACGAGAACGATAATGCATAATTCCATGCTGTTTGTGGTAAGAAGTTCTGAAATTGTTTTTCGTGTATAGGAACTGGCAGAACCATTAAGCTTCCCCCAGAGATTGGTTAATTGGATAGTTAACAAACACCCACAATGATTATCAAACACCCACAACGAGTTAAGTCAAGCTGATGTTGAAAAAAGAAAAAGAAGCGAAATGCTGACAGAAGCGAGACACAGCTGCACAGTTCTGTGCCTCCTGAAGCAGTGAGCCAGGCAGCAGAGCTCAGCAAACTCTGGTCCTGGGCCAGGACAAGGGGTAGGGAAAGTCCTGTGCCAGGTATGAACATCACTGGAGACAGCAAGCTACTCCTGAGATGCCTGAAATCTCCACTTAGGAGCCAGCAGATCTCAACTGGAATCCTAGTGCTAATCTCTCCTTCTGTGAACACAAGCAAAATTCCTATGCCCAGTTTCACTGTCTGTAAAATAGAAAGGTGAATTGTGTATAGAAATCCTGTTTTCTTTTCCTGTTTTGCCATACTACTTGGGAAAAAAGGGAAAAGAGAAGGTAGTCCTCATAATGAAGAGTTAGTCTTCATAGTTCTTTGTACTTTTAAATAGATCCCAAGATCATGCCAAATCTAGGAAACAAAATTTCAGACTCTTCTTTTTTCCTCTACCAATCTTCTTTCTGTGCCCTAAGAAAGATGCTGATGGGCCAACCTATGCACATCCTGCAAGGACCAGGAATGGGTCTTCACTGTAGGGGTGAGGACCAGGGCTGGGCCCAGAAGCTCTGTCTTCTCCCTCAGCTCAGGACTATGTTTGTTTCCACAGGGGCTTTCCGAGGGGTGTGCAAGAAAATTGATCACTTCCCAGAGGATGCTGACTATGAACAGGACACAGCTGAGTATCTCCTTCGTAAGTTCCCCCATTTCTTGAGTCTCCTCAAGGGGAGGGGAAGGTGCCCTGTGCTCACCCAGCTGCCCCTGAGTTTGAGGCTGCTCATACCCACTCTTAGAAATGAATATGTGCAAAGGACACTTCAGGGGAGACTTTCAAGTGGTTCTGATAGCTAAATCTCTAATTTCAATGAATAGAAATAGAAGGGGGAAAATTTAGGCAAGTCAGATTGAAAGATTCTTTATAGTCTGCTTAGGAGGAAATCTAAAACATTTTCTTCAACTGGAATCCAAGATTTCACCTTCCCCAGAAGGATGATTTGAGGTGCTAATGGGAAAAGTGCTAATGGGGGAGATGCTAACGGTGAGATGCTAATGGGTGAGGTCTTAAGGGGCAAGACCTGGAAGAATAATTTCAAAGCAAAGTTCACCTCTCTTTGACTTCCCTTCCATTTCAATCCTACTAGGACAGGGCCAGTGTCTTTGTAGGGCTGCCCCAAGGTCATAACCCAGAAATGACATGGGACTGTCACAAATACTGCATATGGGGAGGCTGCAGAGTGTGGTGGCTTAGAGCAAGGTCTCTAGATGCTAGTCAACATGGACTTTTACTCCCATCTGACTCCCTACCAGCTGGGTTGGACTTGGGCCAAGCTGCTCTCTCTCTCCATCTCTTAGCTTTCTTTATCTAGTCAGACATGAGATTACAATGCCGTCTACCTGACAGGGTCATGAAAATTAAATAAACTAATGCACATTACACTTAGCTCCCGGATCAACATGTCATCATGAAGCTATACGTGTTAGCTCTTTTTGTTGCATGAGATGAGCTATAGATAAGTCCAGCTGCCGACACGGGCCTGACATTGACTAAGGCATAGGGAGAACTTGGGACTTAATGTAATTTATTTATTTATTTATTTTTTAAAGTTTAATAATGATAATTTATTTTATAAACATAAAATGTTATTTATAACATTTATATATTTTGATTATAAAATAATACACAATCATCATAGAAAACAGAAAAATGAGAGAATAGGATAAAGAAAAGTATCCAATTCATACCCTAGTTTAGCATTAATAATTGCTAACATTTTGATGTATTTCTTTCCTTTTTGCTTAAATGTACCTTCTTTAATGAGCATGTGTATCCAGTTCACTTGAAAGGAGAATTCTAAAGCATGACTAATTATATTAAGAAGTGTTAAATGCAAGGCTTTTGTTTTTGTTTTAAACTGCTATTAAAATGAAAACTCCAAGAAGTTGTCCTATTCAGATTATGTGTGTAACTCATCACTCAAGAAGAGTGTTTTTACAATTAAGATAATTTTTAGCTTTATTCATGGTTGCTAGTCTGCAGATGGGCTGTGGGTCTGTGTATGAGCCTTCAATCACTTAACAATGTAAGTGGTACAGGGTCAGTTTGAAAGAAACAGTCATATTTAAGCTAATTTTTATAACATAAACATACCATTTATCTCTTTTCAGTCCATATCCATTTATGAGGATTTACCCAAATGCCTACTAGGATGTCTTTATACCAGCAGCTCAAAAAGATTTGGTGTGGGGAATAAAGGCCACATTTAGAGATGTGGCTAAACAAAAGTTTGGAGATGGCAGAGATTGGTTGGGCCTCTCAAAAAAAGAAGGACTTTAAAGTCATGTCCAGTGGGGTTTCAACAGAGTGCTCATAGTTCTCTGTTTTTCTTTCCTAATTGATGAAACATTGTGATGTTTGCCCTGATGGAGACTAAACAGAACCATGACTTTTATTTCACAACTGGCAAAACTCATCTAAAGCTCTTCAGAGTGGTCCATTGTTTTTCCAACAAAATATGTTTCTCCTGCTGGAAAGGTTGGGGTCCTCACCATGGTCCACCTGTGCTCCACCATTAGCCACAGAACCAGGCTGAGGTTAAGGAAGGACCTTAATCAGCACATGAATTTCCTGCTGAGGATATGGGAACCACTGACCCAACTACAAAGGACCAGGGACATGTGCCTGCAGGGGTCTCTGGTCCCCAATGTTTGCAAAGCCAGTTCCTGGAGTGACCACACTGTAGCAGGATGGGATTCTGCACACTGATTTTTCTGCTGTTTCCTCCTTCTCATGTGCTGTTGGATAGGAGACAACTTAACCTTATAGCAGAAGGTTTATTTGCCCATAGGTCCTGTGGACCACAGATGCCCCATAATAGAGCACTGGACTTGGCCAAGCCCTGCTCAGACACTGATAGTAGAACTACACTGGAATAAGCTTCCCTTCCCTGCCCCGAAGTAGTTTAGAAAGAAGAAATAGGGAAGAAAGACAGTAAAACCTGTTTGTTCTGAAGCCACCGTGTCTATTGCGCTAAAGCAAATCTTGAGTAGACACCAACTAACTTAGGAAGAAATGGCAGTGGCAGCCATGTGATTGGAGGCAGACAAGTGTATCCAGAGTATTCAGGGTCTGCTGTACCACATTTGCGGGGTGCCATGGGGTTGGCCTCCAATGGTCACAAAATTGTTCCTGTACCACATGGAAAACAGGCACATTTGCACATCTCATAACCACACATTTCAAATACACACACCAACCCAGTACTGTGCAAATGTAGGTGTGTGCTGGGAAAAAACCTGCATTTTGGTAACTAGCGTGTAATCTCATGGGAGTCCTGGGACCAGGGTTGGCTATATATTTGCAGGGCCCAGTGTAAAATGAAAATCCTGGGCTCCTGGTTCAATATGTAGGCAAAACACAATTTCCCTTTCTTCTGCAATCTCTCTCTTTTGACCCAGCATAGTATCTTATATTTGCTCTTTAATGTCACATTCCCTCCTTCATGGAGACTCTCAAAGGTGTCTGGGGCTTGCACCTAACCTTGATTCTCCCTATGTCCATGCCCAGCCCCGACCAGGAGTAGAGAGTGGCAGTGGTCATTCATTGGGCAGGGAAGTGGGCAGCTGAGGACCCATCCCAAGGAGAATGGGGAGTTGGGGGTGTGGTGGGTGGTGGGATCCCACATGAGTCAAAGCTCTAAGCCCCCAGTGTGTGCATGCTAGTCCATCAGACTTCCTTATAAAACACAGATTCAAAGCTAAGAGGATTAAGAAATTCAGGATGTTGACTGCAAAGGCGTTCAAGCACAGGGTCTGGTGACTGCACAGCTCTCATGCCTATGTTAGATGCAGGCTCTGTCCCCAGCTCTCATGCTGGTCCCTGCAGGCATCCCATGCCCAGGCAGGTGTGGCCTGGGGCTGGCTGAGGACCAGGCAGAGCCCTCTCTCCTTCTCTCCGCAGGGGCTGTGAGGGCCTCCAGCATCTTCCCCATTCTCAGCGTCACGCTGCTCTTCTTCGGCGGGCTCTGTGTGGCAGCCAGCGAATTCCACCGCAGCAGACACAATGTCATCCTCAGCGCAGGCATCTTTTTTGTTTCTGCAGGTGAGCACCTGGCCCCAGCCCTGAGATCTGCACAGACACCAAGCCAGGGCCACAGGGACAAGGAAAAGCAAGAAAATGCTCAACTTGTTATGTTAAGAATGAGGGTCCATGAACTTTTATCAGAACCAAAGATGCTGACACTCTAGCTAAAGGTGGCATGAAGGAAAGAGAGAAGACAGGTGGCAAGGTCAACTCAGAGAAGGCAAGACTGACTAATAAGAGAATGTATGTCTATGCTTGCCCAGAGTGGGCAGGGGTATGTATGGTGTGTGTATTGTGTGACCTGAGAGACTGAGTCAGTGTGTTTGAAAGGGATCCAACTTTTTGTTCAGCAGGGCCTCTTCATACACTCTCTTTGGCCTTTTGAGGTATGTGTTTGCCTGTTTACTATTGTTCACAGCTCTTCAATTGCTTAAATCTCCATAACGCATCTCTGGCAACAAGGCAAAACCGAGCAGTGCCAGGTACTGTCAGGGGAGATTTTGTATTCAGTGGCAGCCCTGACCAGATGGTGGCCCAGGGTGGCTAGAAGGATGAGAGACAATCTTGGGGAAAGGGTCCTACTCTCTACCTTCTCTCTCCATCCTTCATCTCCATCCTCCTCCAAGCTCCTCATCTTCCTTTGGGTTTCCTTCCATCTCCTTACCATCTCCTCCTACCTGACCCTTCAACCAATGCCATCTGGATGAAATGATTTAGGAAAGCAAAGAACAAGGTAGAGGTCTGGGAGAAGGGGCCCTGCCTATTTAGTGATGACTTTCAAGCTTTGCCCAATAATGGCAGAATATTTATTGGGATAGGAACATTGAGGAATTGTATAAAATGGTGAGTTGCCCTCCTGGATTTGAATTCTGGCTCCATCTGTGGGGCCTTGGGAATGTTGCCAACTCCCTGTAGCTTGGTTTCCTCCACTGTAAAATGGGAAATAATAATAATACCACCTACTTCATAGAGTGTTCGAAATAGGCTAAACGTAAAAAGCACAATATTACTCTCTAGTATTAGAAAAGCAGCAATGACATAGTCTTGGCCCCCTAAGATCTTTCTCTCATTCCTTCCCCTCTGTTTCACCTTCTGTGAAATGAGAAAGTTAGACTGTGTCCCGCTGTAAGCCTCTATGAACTGGCTTCAGCAACAGAGCATAGAGAAAGCTGACATCTTGCCCTAGGGATGTGGTCACCCAAAGGTGGCCGTGGCCCCTGGCCACACTCTGTGTGGACATATGGTCAAACTGGCAAACTCAGGGACCTGCGCTGCTTTGGGGAAAGTGCTAGTCTCTGGTGGCCCAACAAGACCTCCTGGGCCCTGACTGACCAAGAGGATGATGTGTTGTGCTGATGTGAGAATTTCCTAGACAAGAGAAGATCATTATTTTGTCCCCCAAGCGGATTGCTAGGGAAGGGTATGTCACCAGCAACTTTCTTCTCACAGGAGGTATTGTGAGAGATGTCAAGCTGAGTAGACACAAGGAAACTGGGAAACCTGAGGGCAGTGGTGAAAGCCCTGAGCAGCCACCAGAAGCATGAGGTCAAGTCCTGGACCTCCCTCCCTTGCTGACCTCTTTGAAGAACCCCAAAAGCCTCAGTTTCTATAGAATGAAAGTTTGGGAGAATTCAGCACTCTCTAAGGCTCTTTTTTGCTCAGCTATTCTAAAAATCTACGGTCTCAGACAAGCAATCAGCAACCCTCTATTGAGCACCTACTGTGTGCCAGAGACTGTGCAAAATGCTGAAGAGCATGGGCTCTGAGCCAGCCTGCTCAGTGCAAATCTTGGCTCTACTACTTCCTAGCTGTGTAACCTCAGGCAAGTCTCCTAATCTTTCTGTGCCTCAGTTTTCTCAACTGAAAAGCAGGGATAATAACAGTTCTACCTCCAAAAGCTCTTAAGAGGATTAAATGTGTTGGTATAAAGTGCCTAAACTGCCTAGCACACAGTAACTCTCAATACACAATAGCTGCTATTCTGTATTTTGTTCCATTTTATTCTGATGCCATCTCAATTCTGTAGTTGTTCCACAAATATGCAGCACTCTTGCTTTGGGTTAGGCTCTGGGCTGGGAGATGCCTCCAGAGCACTTAACAAAATGAGCCTAGTACAGTGTGGGAGCAGGGAGCAAATGGCTGCTCACTTACCATCAGCTATTCCTAAGTTTTGTTACTGAAATCTGAATCCACCCATGGCTAAGGGACCATCCTCAGTTCAAATCCCACTTCCACAATTTCCTAGCTGTGTTGACTTGGGAAGTTACTTATATTCTCTGGTTCTCAGTTTCCTCATCTGTAAAAGAGTGGTAATTTTTTTTAAAAAGTAGGCTTGTTGTGATGATTGATTGAGATAGTGCATGCAAAGACTTCACACAGCGCCTGACACATAGTAAGTGCCCTATAAAGAAATGGCAACTCACTGAGCTTCCTGCCTCCTTTAACCCAATCTGAGCCTCTCTTTGAATCTTTTTATTTCCCAGCAAGACTTCCATTTTGAGCTTCCCAAACTTTACCCCAAATTTTGCTGCTGGCAGAGGGAGTCAGGGGACATTCCAAGAAGCCACCTTCAGCGAGCTGAAGTGTCTTTAAAGTCTGTCTCTCATTAACACTTAAAAATTCATGTGAATTCTGTTCTCTCCTTTGTATTATATTTATGCTCATTTTAATATAAAACAATGTGCCTGCCTTACTAATATTCAAGCCCAACTGACACTGCAGGAAGAGAAGCTGCTTTTCACCCTGTGGTTTGCTGCAGCTTGACACAAGGCTGTCTATGTCACCCCAAATTAAGAACAGTTCAGTGCTTAGAACTTGCTGCCTACTTGATGAATGCCTGTGCAGAGTAATGCCAGGAGGACCCTGGGTTGAGACAGACCCTGGCCTTGCCCTCAAGGTGCAAGTCCCACGTGGAGTGCAGCTAGATATCATATTTTTAAAAATATTTTATTTATTCATTTTTAGAGAGGGGAAGGGAGGGAAAAAGAGAGGGAGAGAAACATCAATGTGTGGTTGCCTTTCGTGCACCCCCCATTGGTGACCTAGCCTGTATCCCAGGCATGTGCCCTAGACTGGGAATATGAACCAGTGACCCCTTGGCTCACAGGCGGATGCTCAATCCACTGAGCTACACCAGCCATGGCTAAAGATTATATTTAAAATGTGAATTCCCCTTAGTGCATGAGCAACACCTGGTCAGAATGGTAGAAGTGGAGCACAGTCCAGTGGTTCCTGCTATTCCAAGCTTTAATCATTTTGTTGCTGGACCATGAGGAGATCTTGGGGATCCCTAGGAAGAGTGTGGGGTGCACACAGAATGGAGGAAAGACTCAGGAGGCCACTGAAAATGATTATTTACCAACTGGTGCTGGGAACTATAATGAGGGACAGCCTCCATTTAGTGCCACCCTGCAGGTGGTCTGAATTTGGAGGCAAGGAGATGCCAGCTGATGAACTAACCTGTCTGAGTCACTGTTGGTATCAAGGCCTGGATGAGGCCCTTGGAGCAAAGGGACAAAAAGAGACATTCCACCTTGGAGCGTTAATGTGAGACAGGTGGTTAAGACCTGAGCAGAGTCCCCGGCCCCCAGGTTCTCTTGTTGCTTCTTACTACTCCCTAGAGAACCAGTTCCTCTCTGATGGCCTCAGCAGCTATTCTTGTGCTATCCTGTTGGCACTTGGGGACACTAAGTTGGCAGGCTTTGCCTATGGGGGACAATGGGTTTATCTTCCCCAATTCCTGATGCTCCAACAAAAACTAATCCAAAGCATTATCTTATCCTGTGCAGATAAGGAGACTTAGGAGCTACTGTACCTTCTCCACAGGCTCATTAGTTCCCCAAACTGCAGCCCTGGCCCCATGCATGTCTACCCGACAGCTACAGCTGGATTCCCAATAAGCACTTCCAACTCCGTGTGCCCAAATCTCTTTTCTTCTCCAAACCTATTCTGCTGTTTCTTATTTTAACTCAAGACACCACCAATGTCCACATGACCCAAGCTAGAACTTTAGTAAGTCATTTTTCCTCTCATGCTCCATAGTCAATAGCCTTTCATTTCCTTGCTCGCCCCTCTTCAAATTTCAGGATCCAGCTCAAATGTCACCTTGTCTTCAAAGAGAAGTGTCTTAATCATCTCTCTCCCTTGGCTCTTGAACCATTTTATCCATGTCTCTGATAGTGCCCTTCCTGTCTGTTGCTCTAATTGCATTTACACGTCAGTCTCTCTTACTAATGGTGATGAACTCAGGGCAGGGACCTATATCTCATTCGTTATACCATCCTCATGACTTCCTGCCAAAGATTATGTTTTGATGGAGTGAATTGTTTCTAAGGGAAGAAAGACGTGTGTTCCAAGTTCTACTGTACTTGCTATGGGAGTCAGGTATCTTCTTTAGCTGAAGGCTCACCATCTGGGCCTGAATTCTTCATTTCCTAAGAGACAGACCATGTAGAAGAGCTCAGCAGGGTTGGATTTCTCAGCCACAAATCCATTCTTCTCTCTCCCTGTTACCTTCATATTCTCTATAAATATTTCAAGACGGCAAGTGACAGTAGCCTCTGAGGTTTATAAAAAAGACATTTTTCTTTTACCTTCTCTTAGGGTTAAGCAACATCATCGGCATCATAGTTTATATATCGGCCAATGCTGGGGACCCTGGGCAGCGTGACTCCAAAAAGAGCTACTCCTACGGCTGGTCCTTCTACTTCGGAGCCTTCTCTTTCATCATCGCAGAAATTGTGGGTGTTGTTGCTGTGCATATCTACATAGAGAAACATCAGCAGTTACGTGCCAAATCCCACTCAGAGCTCCTGAAGAAATCAACTTTTGCCCGCCTGCCACCCTACAGGTATAGATTCCGGCGGCGGTCAAGTTCCCGCTCCACAGAGCCGAGGTCCCGAGACCTGTCCCCTATAAGCAAAGGCTTTCACACCATCCCTTCCACTGACATCTCAATGTTCACCCTTTCCCGGGACCCCTCAAAGATCACCATGGGGACCCTCCTCAACTCCGACCGGGATCACACTTTTCTACAGTTCCACAACTCCACACCCAAAGAGTTCAAAGAGTCGCTGCATAATGACCTGGCCAACAGGCGTACCACACCTGTCTGAACTGCCCTTTGCCATCTGCCCTCCTCCCCAACACAGCCCTGGGGGATGCACAGAGATGTCTCTGAGGTTGCATGACATGGTCCTCGTGGTGGTATTATTTTTTACAAAGAATGAAACCAAATGGACTCAGCCCTCTCCCACACTCTGTCCCTCACCCTTCAGGTCCCCTGTTCCTCAGTTCCTCTCCCATCTTCAAGCCAATCCTGTAACACCATTCCTCTCTGTGTATCTGTGCCAGATGTTTTCCCTTCTTCCTTCTTTACTGGAAGGACCTCCACATTCTTCCCTCCTTGGAAGAGGATTTCACTCAAAGTCACCCGCGGTGGCTTGGGAGGAGGATCCCCAAACCCCCAGGCGTGTGCACAGTTGTCCCTATTGTCCACTCACACAAATCCTCAGGACACCAACCACCCAGGTGGCCCTGGGGGAGGCATTCACCTTTCTGTGTTAGAAAAATATGACCAGAAATGAAAGCTGTCAGAGGCCTGAAGCAGCTAATGTAATAAGCACTCATGTGATTAAAGGTTTTGCCTTGTAACCACCTGAGCCATAGTGTTTTATTGCTTCTGGTTACTTCCTGCCCAAATTCACTGCCCTGTGGTTGAACTGGAAGTCAAGCTTTGTTCATCCATACTCTGGCCAATAGAAAGGATCTCCCTTTACCTCTTTAAGCCAAAAAGGTGCTCCCATAAGTGTCAGAGTTGGTGTGTCCCTCACCTGAATCCCTGGGCTAGCTGGAGGTGGGCATGTGTTCAAAAACCTGGCTCTTGCCCCTAGTAGCTCTAGGATGTTGGGCAAGTCCATCTAACCTTCAAGGCCCAGTCTTCTCATTTTTAAAATGGAACATGGTATAGCATTGTCCTCCATAAAGTTGTGAAGCTTAAATTAAACTACACATGTAGAATGAATAGCACATTGTAAATTCTATCTATGTGTATATATATGAGTGGGACCCAAAAAATCTGGAATTATTTATTAAAAAATCATGTATTTATTCTTACATGTTTAAACTTCAGTCACCTCAAAGTACTCTCTATTTGATATAATGCACTATCAAGATTTTTTTTCCACTTCTCAAAACAGTTTTTGAACTCATCAATTTTGATGCCTTTTAGTGCTTCTGTTTTTTGTTTCATCTCTTCCATATTGGTAAAACATTTCCCTTTGAGGGTTTTTTTTTCATCTAGGGAGGGAGGGCACAGGGGTTATGCCATTTTTGGCTAAAAACTGATGAACACTCAGTGTGGTATGAGTAGGTGTGCTCCTAGATCCCCCATCATGAAATGGGCAAACACATGGTAAAAGTCTTCAAAAAAAATTCACTGAAGCCAAACACAGCCTCTCACTACAACATCAGCTGGTGCACTGATACAGATGGGATCCTTGAATACTTACCTAGCAGGGGAAGCCTGTAATACAAGGGGCCCGCCATCCAGAAGATAATTCTGGGTTTTTTGAGTCTCTCCCAAAATTTATATATACTCATATATATTCCTCCACATAGTCATATATATAAATTTTGGGGTGGATTCTAGGTAGAATGAACATAGCATTAATCTCCTCGGGATGCTCTAACAAAGTCCCATAGTCTATGTGGTTTTAACAACAATTATTTCTCACAGTTCTGAAGGCTGGAAGTCCAAGATCAGGGTGCAGGCCAACTGAGTTCTTGATGAGGTGAGAGCCCTTTCCTGGCTTGCAGATGGCCACTTTCTCTCTTTATCCACAGATGGCAAAGAGAAAGTGAGTATTATTGCTCTCCCTCTCTATCTCTTCTTACAAAGCCAGTAATCCAATCAAAATGGCGATACCCACATGACCTCATCTAACCTGAATTACCTCCCAAAAAATCCATCTCCAAATGTCATCACATTGGGGGTTAGGGCTTGAGCATATAAACTTGGGAGGTGGGGTAAACAAATCAGTCCATAGCAAGCAGTATTGCAGGAATATAAAAGCCGATAGAGCTGTTCTATACTGGGGTCAGGGGTGTGTTTTGCACAGGCTCAGAGGGTGTTGGGGGCAAAAGTGGAAGGACTTTTGAGTGTTTTAAATATTTGATATCAGATAGCACAAGAGATTGATGTCACCTCTGCCAACACTGACTTTCTAGAGCCGTATGACATACACCCAAGCACTTCATGCTTCAAAGAGCTTTCCCATCTCAGGCTCTTGTGACTCTAAGGGGAAGAGTTATGGTCACAAGAGCTCACACTTACGTAACACTGCTATGTGCCCAGCTGTGTTCTAGCAATGCACACATATTACATCATTTCATCCTCGTAGCAATATCCTCATTTACCAAGGAGGAAACTGAGGCAAGAGAGGTGACATGACTTGCCTAGGAAACAAGTCACTTCTCCACACTCACATGGTGAACTTGATTGTTGAGCACGGACTAGTAACAATTTATTTTAACACTTGAGTCTTGCATTCAAACTGCACTCACATACATCAGATTATCTCAATGGATTCTGAAAACAACCCAATGCATAGTAGGAATTATCATCAGCATTTTGGCAGATGAGTAAACAGAGGCTTGAGGAGACTAAGTGTCTTAGGAGCTAATGGGCAGGGCCAGCATTTATATCCAAGCCTCTGCTTTCTAACTTGACTGATTTCCTCCAAGTCTGTTATTAGAGTGTAACCCTTGTGAAGCTTCATGTCCGCATACCACATAAATGATTCTTTACCTAATGTTTCATTGTAAATTGACTCAGCTTCTACTTCAATAAATATATCTTGAAACTGAAGTTTACAGCACTGCTATCAAACGGTAACTGTAATTACTTGCCATACACAAATGGTAACTGGGAAAAAAACATAATAAAAACAGCACAATCACTCCATATTCTAGCTGCTGCCTATTCTGAGTAGAGGGCCAGCTGCCTGCTCTTTATGGAAGGGATGTAACCCAAATGTTAGAAAGAGGTTAAAGGTATTCTCATACCAGAGAAGACACTTCCCTTGGATTAATCAGAGACATGGAAAGGGGATCACTTTATGTCTACAGGGTCTGATGCTCTCTAATACCTGGCCATGTGTCATGTCCAGTGATCTCATTCTGCATGTTGGGAAAAGTGGCTCCTGGCACTGTGAAGAGGGAATGATTTTAGAGATGGATGGAGTAGCTGATGAATACTGTGAGGTGGGAAAGACAACAACTTGCAGCCCTGGGAACTAGGAGTTGGTAAAAAACAGGGCATCTGGGAAGTTGGTCAGAGATGGAGAAAAAGGTTCCAGGGGCTAAACTAGCTGGATGCCTGCTCTGGAGATGAAGGTACAAAGCCCATATGCAAAGGCCAGAGAGCTGGAGAGAAGTAGACTCTGATCTCTGGAAAGACCTCACACACAGCTTCCAGCTCTGGTCTTTGTAAGGCTTTGGCACACGGGCCTCAGAGAGCCTTTGCTTGAAGAGTACCCAGCTGGACCCAGCTGGTGGCATCAAATAAATATTAATATTACCACTCTTGGTTCACATCAGGATCCTATTATTCTTGTCCCTCCAAACCCCTATAAAGATCATTCACATCCACAGGTCCCTATGTGTGTGCCAAACAATGTGCTGTAAACTCCTTTTCTTTTGTCTCACTTAACCCAACCTTTGAGGCAGGGACTACTGTTGACCCCATTGGCTAGATGTCATGCTGCTCCTTTTCCCAGCCCACTCATTTCTGGACCAGTAGCATTCTAGTGGCAAGACCACAAGACCAGTACCCTGTATTTTCCTTTCATTCTTCTCTGCTCTTCTGCCTTCAGAGCTGAACTTTGCCAAGGTATGTCTCTACCTTTCTGGAGGGGAGAGGCAGCGTGACACAACATTCGAACCCACAAACTCTGAAGCTGTGTCTGTCCAGAGTTTAATCCCAGCTCTGTATTTATCAGCCACAAGAATTTCAACAAGATAACTCCCCCATACCTCAACTTTCCCATCTGTAAAATGGACACAAAACAGTACTTAACATAATATATTAATACCTTTCTCATATTTACAATTTTCCTGCATGGGCCCTTTCCCACCTAGTCAATCTTATTTTCCAAATCATGTCAACACACCCATTTGCTCCAATCAGGCCAGTACCCACACTGTGCTCTGGCTCTACTGTATTATTCCCAACTCCCCAACTTTGTTTATGAATGTTATTTCTGCCTGAAATATTTTCCCCTGTTCTTTCCAAATCCTGTCCATTCTTTAAGGTGAAGATCAAGTCTTGACCCTTCCAAAAAGTCTTCAGTGAGCCCTAGGTTACATGGTCTCTTATTTGTGGGCATTCACTGTTCATTCATTCATTCACTCATCCATTCAGCTAGCACTTATTATCCAGTGCCTACTATGTGCCAGAAATAACAATAGTCTCAACAGATATGACCACTGCCCTCATGGATCACTCAATCCAGTGGGGGAAACAAGCACTAAATAAGTAAACACACAAATCAGCATCATTTAAAATTGTGGTCTGTATCATCAGGGAAAAATATAGTTCACAAAGTACAAAGAAATATTAACAGGGGGCTTTAATTTTGATAGAGGGTCAAAGAAGAGGAGATAGCATTCACAAGCACACATAAAGGAAGAGTTAGTATAATCCAAGTAAAAAAGGAGAATGGGGAGGGGAAAAAACAGCATATACAAAAGCTTGAGACCCTACAGTCCCTAGAGGTGGACATGACCATGAATTGGACATGACCTTGTCCCCAGCCACAGTTGATTGGCTCACATGATTGGCTGATATAAGGCTAGCCAATTCATTTATAGAGTGGCTAGAGGCCTAGGACTTGTGACTGGATATAAAAAGGTAAACTGAGTCAATAAGCTGATCTCTCTTAAAAATTGTAACTAAGGTGCAGAAAGCAGTTGCTACTTGGCTAGGGGAAGCAGAACAGAAAAGATAAAAGGACACTTTGGGACTAGGGCAGCAACAATAGGCCAAACTCAAGCTGAAACTAATTTTAATAAAACCGCTTGGTAAAGAGAGAACACCTTTGCAAAGTTCTCATATTGTACTTAAATAAAATCCAAAATTTTGCCATGGTCTCCAAGATCTTGCATTATCAAAACCATGCTAACCTATCTAAATTTATCCCATGCCACCTTGCATTGTGCTGCCTATGCTCTAGCCTTATGTCATCTCTTCTCAGTTTCTTGATCCAGCCAAACATATTTCTGCCTCAGGGCCTTTGCACCTGCTGTTCCTGCTGCTTGAAATCTCTTTGTATGTCTGGCCCCTTCTCATCTTTCAGATCTGAGCTGATAAGTCACCCTTCAGCAAGGTCTTCCTT